GCACTGATGTAAAGTGGCAAGCATATAAAACTGCAAGAAATCAATGCAATCAGATAGTGAGAGCTGCTAAACGCCGTTATATCCACGAACAACTACTTAATTCATCTTTGGCTGATATATGAAAGTTTCTGAATATCCAAGCGGGATATGGAAAATCGCAATTTAATTATAATAGCGTCACCTTTTCTCCTGACGATTTTAATTCATTCTGTCATTTTCTGTCTTCTCAAATAGTTTCTGATAATTCTAGAGCGAATGCTATCTTTTTTATATCTTCCATGCCTCCTTATTCTCATGAAACTTTCACTTTTACTCCTGTAGACGAAGACGAGGTACGTAAAGCACTTTCCTCTATTAAATCGAAAGCCGTTGGATGTGATGATGTGAGTAGGGTAATGGTTTACACGTGCTGGATTCTGTTTTAGCCGTGATAACTCATATAATTAACTTTTCTCTGACGAATGGTGCTTTTCCAATACTCTGGCGTAAAGCCTTTATTATTCCCATTCCGAAATCAAGTGAATGCAGCGCTTTATCTAATTTCAGACCAATTTCTATCCTGCCTTTTCTTTCTAAGGTTCTGGAAGCTGTTGCTCATAAACAGATTTCTTCTTTTGTTTTCTCAAAGAATATTCGTCCCCCTTATCAGTCTGGTTTCCGCCCGGATCATTCTACAACTACTGCTCTTCTCAAGGTTACGGAAGATATTCGTGAGGGGATGGAAAAATCAAAACTGACCGTTCTCATCTTAATTGATTTTTCTAATGCATTTAATTCTGTCGATCATGGTATCTTGTTAGCTCCTTCTTTCTCATTTGAATATCTCGTCTTCAGCTCAGGAATGGTTCTCAACATATCTTCGAGGGCGCCTACAGGCTGTGGGTACTGGCCATACACTATCTGACTGGCGTGATGTGTCAATTGGAATCCCTCAAGGCGGTGTTATCTCTCCTCTTCTGTTTTCCATTTTTATAAATCTCATCACACTAAATTTCAAGAGCTCTTACCATCTGTATGCTGATGATCTGCAGTTATATGCGCAAGTGGAACCTTCAAATATCCTTAGTGCTATCTCAGTGTTAAATGATGATTTGAAATATATCTCAGAATGGTCTATTGTGTATGGCATAAACGTGAACCCGTCTAAATTCCAAACGATAATCTTAGGTAGCTCAAGATTATTATCTAAACTAGATATTCCCACCCTACCATCAATTATGTTTAATAATAATGTCATACCATTCTCTACTAATGTAAAGAACCTTGGTCTGTATATCGATGGTTGCTTACCATGGAACAAACATATACAGGAGGTGAATCGCAAAACTACTGGAACTTTGCGATCTCTATATCGATTTAAAAACTTTCTTCCTACCAATACCAAGATTTTACTTGTCCAATCGCTTATTGTACCGATTATTGATTATGTCGATGTGTGTTGCTCAGACCTGTCTCATCTTTATCTTAATACATTGGATCGTCTGCTTAACAACTGCATCAGATACATTTATGGTCTTCGTAAATACGACCATGTATCTTCCTTTCGTACACAGCTAAACTGGCTGTCTATCCGTCAGCGCAGATATGTTAGAATACTCTGCACCCTTTTCACAATTTTGAACGATCCATGTGCTCCCGAGTATCTGAAATCTAAATTTCAATACCTGGGAGATTCTCATAATTTTTCTTTCCGTTCCTCGGCCAATCTTAAGTTGCTTACTCCTTTACACCGTACTGGTAATTTATCTCACTCTTTTGCCCTCACTGCCATCAGAATCTGGAAGGAAATCCCTTTTGACATCGAAAAAGCTCCAAACAAATTCGTTTATAAAAATCAAGTCCGTAAGTATATGATTAAATCGTTGCAAGTTTGAAATAATACAGCTCTTTTTTCGTATATATTTCATATTTGTTCTGACATAGATAATATTTATATGTACCTATTGTGTATGTATTTATGTGTATATAGTGTATATATATTGTATTTATACATATACATGTGTATATGTGTATGTATTATTTATTATATATATTTTTTTTATCCTCTCTATTTGATTATTGCTGCACCGCCTCCAAAATGTCTATCTCTGTTTAGCCTAATGGTTAACTGGGAGAAAATGCCCTATGGCATTAAGTCCGCCATATGTACTACTTTATGCATAAAAGCGTAAATAAATAAATAATAAACTAAAACTAGGTAAAGGAAATAATTTGATTTTATTATGTGGATCTTACATAATTAATTTAAAATCGTTGATTGAATTTTAATACTTGAAACCATTACCGTCATCATTGAATTAATAACCTTTAATGCTGAAAATAGACGATCCAAAAATATCGTCACAAAGCCTCTTAAGCGCTTACAAAATACATTAATTATATTTTGATATCAAGATTGTATAGCGGAGAGAGTAAAATATTTTATAGTCACGTGTAACCCTTGTCTTATAATATGACTCACATAACGTTAATTTTGTTTATGTATGAATTCTTCCATTTTAATTAGATTTAATTTGGATTTAATGTCTTAATTTTAGCGAGCTATGAAAAGCACTATGCTCAAAGTTCACTGCGTAATATAACTGCTAAAGAAAATATTCACAGTAGAACCATTTTATACATGGTCGACTTACGCTGTAACTATATAGTTGTAGCACAAATGGGTCGGTGAACAACCAGGCTCTTACACAATACCAGCGTAAAATGCTGCTGTGTATTCTAATCTTATGTTAACTTATTTCTATACGTTTTAATACTGATTCTGATAACGTACTTATATATATATATATATATATATATATATATATATATATATATATATATATATATATATATATATATATATTAAAGATATGAGTTACGTTAGTTTAGTTTAGTTTACGACGGGCTGTTTTCCGCAACTCCACGTCCAAGCGCGTATTTTGCGTGTGGGCAGGAATAATATGATTATTCGAGCCATGATGTCTCCCCGAAGAAGCTCAGCAGTCCCTTGAGATGTTTAGCCCTGTATGAAGCGACTGCCGGACATGTCAGCAGCACGTGAGCCGGCGTTTCTTCCACTCCCATGCATGCCCTGCACAGGGGGCTATCAGTAACACCTATGGTGAACAAATGTTTGTTAAAAGAGCCATGTCCTGTCATAGCACTTGTTACTATCCTGATCTGTGGCTTGTTCAGTCTCATTAATACCTTGGTGGTCGTTTAACGACTGTTTATTTCAGGTAGGGCCTCCCTAGCTTATCTACGGTCTACAAAATTTTTCCAAAGCTGAGCGTGTAAATTATTGAAATATCCATGTACCAGTGAACGAACGTAGCCAAAGAGGATTGGTATTATTGGTTCCGGCCCTATAGTTGCCAGGGCCGATCCCCTTCTGGCCAGTTCATCTGCTGCATAGTTGCTTCTAGATCCACTGTGTCCCTTGATCAATAGCAGTCACATTGTTGTGCATACATACCTCATTCAATCGTTGATGGCACTCGTATATCAGTCCCGAGTTCGTCACATTGCAACTCAGAGCTTGTAGTACCGCCATACTGTCGGTCAGTATTCTGATGGAGAAGTCTTACCTTCCTAGCATCTATTGCTATGTCCGCTTGGATGATACCCATGCATTTAGCCTGGAAGACTGTGTTGTGGGTACCCAGCGGTATGCATATGTGGATATTAAGGTCTTCAGAGAAAGCCCCAGACCCCACACCTTCATTTGTCTTAGAGCCATCCGTGAAAACTTTGAGCTCTTTTTGACCTAATCCTTCCAGATAGTCAGTTTCCTTCAATTGTATCCTGTACTCTTATCAAATACAAATTGTTTTGGGATCCTATCATACCTGGCTTGTAAGATAGGAATTTTTGTGTAAATTCTATCGATTATATCTGTATGGGGGACTCTTACTTAAAAGATTTAGTGTCTTGAGTCAAATGGCAGCTAAAGTTTCTTCTTGTGTATATAGCATAGCCTCCAAAGCTGCTGTTGGTGTAGTCCTTATGCAGCCCGTGACAGCCATACAAGCCAATCTCTGGTAACGCTGAAGCTTTCGTATGGTGGTGGCTTCATTGGTATGAGTTACGTTGGTACGGTATTTAATTACTCTGCTGACACCGAATAGCGATATCATTTTATTTACAGTTATTATTATTAAACAGTGGTCGCGCGCCCACGCGGTAGCCTTGCTGTTGCACGCATGGGCTGGCTCATACCGGGGTGGTACCACGACTTCACAGAAGACCAGCATGAAGTAGAGGCTTTGCTTATGTGTTTCGTTTGGTGTGTGCAGGTGGACGGAGGCCCAATCCCCTCCCCCCATCAACATGGTGGTGGAATTAATTGCAAGGCTATCCCAGGAGGGTATCAGCACCTCTGGAGAATCCCTCGCTGAGCATCCATGACAAAGCTCCCCCTCCACTCCACTCCTGAGCGAGGGTGCTCAGACTGCCCCACCGTATTCTGGGGAGGGGGGGCGGCAAAATTCTGCTCAAGACTAAACCTGCTCGGGGCAATAAGTCAAAGGCGCCCACTGCCACGCTATCCGTGAATTTCTACAACATCAGTGGACTTCATTCAAACCTTAACGCTGGAAACGGCAATGGCGGCCCTGCTCTTTTTAACCGAGACACAGTTGGATTTTTTTAAGCGGGCATTTTTCACACATCAACCGATGTCGTTTCTCAATTTCCCGTTTGCTTCCTATGTCTAAATTGATGACAGAATATCACATCGCAGAATAGAATATAATATTTTTACTCCCTATTTATTTAAAACTATCAATAACACTTATTTAAAAAAACATATTTTCTGTTACAGAAAACCTCTGTCCTGAAAAACCCAGCGGTACTTTTTTATATATAACATATTACAATGAAATACATAGATCATATACATTATTTAATATTAAAACAACCTAAGGTTATGTTTATATATAATTTATTATTGTATAAACTTAATTTTAAATTATCCCAATAATTGCAAATTCCAGTTTGAAATTGTTTTTTCTATTCAGAATATTAAAACAAACTTAACCATGTTGGAGCAAATAGTTAGGGTGAATTTTAAAATAATGTTTAAGAACATGGATTTGTAATTGGAGAAAATGTTATTATACTTTTAATTATACTTACAGACATTAACAATATAGACAGACTTGGGTTCAATATAGATTTTGTCAGTGACGAGATATGGATCTTAGACCTGTTACTTCAGTGCTGGTCGTGTTGTTGTATGAGAGAGATATTCTCTGAATTTCTTGACATTATAGACCTCAAAATGAGTATATTCAGGGTATAATCAGATTAACTAGTATAATCCAAAAGATCAGTACCTAAATTGAACTGGAATTAGGTCAGCCATACTCCTTTCGACACATGCATGACTAGTGTGAGAACCACAGAATGTAATTACACACCCTAGTTTACAAACTACATGTCAGTTAGTGTAATAAGATCATCGATTATGATTATATACTAGAGAAATAAGACTATTTTACTTTGATTATATTATCTTGTGTTGTGTGTCTGAACAACCTTTAGCTGTATGAATTAACATTTTTAATTTTCATTATATTTATCATATCATAGTTTGAATAACACACAGCCGATTGAAAAAAAGGTGATCGATTGGCAGCTTCTTAACGGTAGTAAAAAGTAGGTCAACCCCTACTAGATAGAGTGACGACCTGGTGAGAAATTAAGGAATAAAGAAAGAAACATTTATTGAGAATACGCTACACCTAATGAGACACTTAAATTAAAATATTTGTAAGCATATCAATTACCGTGTAGTGGCTGTGTAAGAATATCCACTACTCCATATCATCCCCTGGGTGTCGTAAGAGGCGACAGAGGGAAACAAATCAGGAGATAGGCAGCAGTGTCTTACTAATAACGACTAAGACAAAAAAATCCGGTTGTCAGCCCACTTGCCCAGCATGCCAACTATGGAAAATATCCCCCAACTATGGCAAATATGAGGTTATCTATGGGACAGGCCTATGTTAAGCAGTGAGCTGTAATAGGCTGTAAGGGTAAGCACATAACTGATAATTGATGATAATGAAATTTTTTTTTTAAATTTCCCGTTTCGAACTAGACTATATAAATTATTTTAGCAAGTAACATTAAATATTTATAAGCTTTCCAAAGATGGTGAAATAACCATCTAGTTTAAGACAGAGTTTTTTCAGGTCTAAGATGCGAGACGTCTGTGTCTGCCTATTCGCATCTCGTGAATATGGGAATCCTTCAACGAAATTGTCCATTGTCTGGAAGTTGACTTTTAATAATATTTTTAACATAAAAGCTTCTCAGAGAAATGTCAATTCTTAATTCAGTTCGGTATTATTTTCCAAACAATAATATTAATAAAAGTATTCTGTAAGTTTCTCTTTCACTTTACACATCAGCCACAAATAGTCCACCGCTCATCATGGGCCTCTCCCGTTATGAAAATTCTCACACAAGTCGACGTCTCAGACCTTTGACGTGGCTCACTTCGCCGGACCTACAGCTAGCGTAAACAAGTATAACCATTTTCTTTGTGTTTATTGGAAGTTATAAGACTTCTTAGCTAGGCTGGCATTTTCCCATTAATGCTGAGATTAGTTTTTTACGCTGCCACCACGTAGGCATAATTATGGCTGATGGTTTAATATTTTCAAAGTTTTCTCCACTATAGTAGGTTTATTATAGTTGAAACTATAAGTATCTTACCTAATTAATTTAACATCGATGATTAAATTTTAATAATTTATAGCTTCATTATTGATCTAAAAACGTTTAAGAATACTGATGCTGAAAATAGACATTTCAAAAATATCGTCACAAAGATTCTCAAATCCTAACAAAATATAATAATTAAATTTGGCTCTCAAGCTTGTATAGCGGCGAGAGTGAAATATTTTATGCTTACGTGTAACCCTTGTCTTATATAACTCAGATGACGTAAATTTCGTTTAAGTATGAATTGTTCCATTTTAATTTGGATTTAATGTCTTATTTTTAGCGGACTATTAAAAGCACTTTCACTGCGTAATATAATTTATAACGAAAATATTCACCATAAAATCATTTTATACATGGTAGAGCTACGCTATTACTATAATTTATTTGTAGGACAAATGGATCGAGGAACGTACACAATCTCACAGAATACCCACGTTAAGTAGCAACTTAATCCTGCTGTGTTAGTATGATGAGTGTAAAAAACCGGAGATTTAATGAAGAACGAAATATATATATATATATATATATATTATTTTTTTTTTTTTTTTAATGAAAAACGTGGCATCTTATTCGTTGGGGGGTGCCAACGCATTTGCATCAGCATTTTGATTTTCAATGGAGGATAGAGGTGGATGTCTATGGAGCACAGCATTTACTTACCATCAGATCGAAGGTGTGCACGTTTGTCATCCGTATTAATAAAAAAATAGAGTAACTGATACACCCCAACGAATCAGAAAGCTGAAGTAGCATTGGGCCGGTCATATATGTAGCTCGATGAACCAACAACCGATGGAGAAGAAAGGTTGTCGAGTGATAGCCTAGTAGTGTAGAGCGCTCCCCTCCACAAGTTGGAAAAATGACGATCTGATCAGATATGCTGGAAGTCGATAATTGAAGGTTGCTCGGGACTGTGTTTTATAAATGATTTTTTTTACAGCTAGGGTAATATCATATATGAAATATTCTTAGTAGCAAATTAGTTTGCAAGGTGAATTTTAATAACAATTTTGTTCGGATGCGATCTGTTCACAGCACCAAAGCCCTACTTGGTGGCTATTTACAAATTCAAGGAGATATATTTGTTATGAAAAAACAACCTTTGATTTTTAATAGTTGTATGAAATTTTAATCAGATACTCCTTACAAAATCACGCAAGGAATTAAATTGATGTCAATGGAACCATTTTGTTGAGAAGATAATATTATGCAAGTCGAACATTCAACTAATGTACGAACGTACACAGACATCCTTTGAAGTAGTAGAACCACTAACCAGTGCGGTCGAGCAGTTTTTCAACAATAAGGCTTAAAGAACTATAAAAAAAGGATTCAATGTGAAGTCACTAGACTATAACGTTACTTAACGTTGAGATGTGTCATTATCATGCATCTTTAAGTTTTCTATTAGTGTTAAGAACTGTGGAAAGTCAACTTGGATGATTATCCGGCGGATTGGCAGGATTTTAAAAAGCATAAAGTTTAATGAAAATAAATCAAAAGTTATTAATTGATTATATTTTACACATAACTACATAAAAACACTGTATGATAATCTCAATTTTGGCATAAAATATACTGAAACTTGACCAATACGTAGGCTTGCGGTAAAACTACTTACGCCTTTGTGCAATTTCAATTAAACTACGAACCGTACTAACACGGCACAAATAATTAGCTTATGTATTCCAACTCTTAATATATTATAATAATATAAATTTGTATAATTTAATACAAAAAAATATCACTTTCTGCTTCTTTAGAACAGGATATTACTTTAAATCATTGTGCAAATTACTTGAATTACGTATTTCACTAGCCATACAACGCGGTAATGTAGCCAGTTTTATGGACACGTTTGAGCCTTTTTTATAGAAGAGGGGGCAAACGAGCAATCTGTTCACCTGATGTTAAGCGACTACCGTCGATAACGAATACCAAACACCAGGGGAATAGCAGGTGATTTGACAAAAATAAGTTAGCCAGAGCTTGGAGGTATTCGTCTATTTGATCATATTTTTTTTATATAAATGTATATATTTCTATTATTTTAAAATTTTATCTTTTTATTATTTTGTACTTAAGCCTCAAAATCAGAGTAATAAGTTTTAGTTTTCTTTGTTATTATTAAAAAATTCAGACTGTAAATTACGTTGATTGTAATTTTATTTAATGTTTTTGAAAAATATGTATTAAAATTACGTGTTATAAAATAAATATTATAACACGTAATTTTAATACATAACATACATAACGCACTACGCGGCAAACTTCCCGATACCATCCACAATATCTGGATGCTTGGCGGTCCACCACTGTACGTTTCAAAAAGAGTTTTCTTCCGCGTACAACCTCTCTGTGGAATAGTTTACCACCGGCGATTTTTCCGGACCGATACAACCTGGGGACCTTCAAGAAAAGAGCTTACTCCTTTCTAAAGGGCCGGCAACGCACCTGCAATTCCCCTGGTGTTGCGGTTGATCATGGGCGGCGGTAGTCACTTAACATCAGGTGAGCCGCAAGCTCGTTTGCCCCCTCTTCTATAAAAAAAATTTACAAATAAATAAAAATTCTAGAACTTTAATCATTATCCGCCTGTATACAATTGCAAATGATGAACAAGCTTCTTACGGGAAACTTCAGGAAATAAATGACTGAATGAAGCCTATAATTATTATTGTAATTATAAACGTAAAAAAGTAACTACTATTGAATATTCATGTAAAGATTTACTACGGTAACGTTCTAAAAATAAAAGCAAAATAAAATGTCCATTACAGGACCATGGAGTCCATGTCTCGGAGCTTTGATGCTACCTCCAGTACGCAGCCTGAGTATACTCGTAATATCTATCGAAAATTATGGGACGACCCATGGGACGAAAGGCGGTAATGGATTCTATTACGCCGCCACCGGGCGTGGAAGTTAAAATCAAATGTTTTATAAAAATGTAAAGTTTGTATTCAATACATCAATCTTTGTTTCAATTCTGTTTCAGAAAGCATTCCTTGTATAATTTACGTTACAAAAATTAATAAATGTCGCTCACAACAAACTTTATTGCAGCCAAAATCGACCAGAAGCATATAATGAAAAAAGATGTGATTGATAACTAATAAAATTGATAACTAAGCTCTGAAAGCGTTTTGTGAGACTTTTGACAAGTCTAATAATTGTTTTTAATCTTTTTTTCTTGTAACTGTTATAATCCTGGGCTTGACTTATATCCTACCAGATGTTAAGTGGTGATCCAGGCGAAGTTGGTAAAATGCCCTGACTTAGCTTAACAAAATCTATTTTATTTTGCTTTAGAGATAAATACCATTGCCGAATTTACTCCACTCTATTAATGAAACGAAGCAAT